ACAGGATTTCCCTAGTGCGGGTTGAGTGTGAATGTGTATGTTAATATTAAATTATTTGAATACAATAGATTGGGAATTTTTGGTAAATTATAAATAAGGTATTCAAATTCATAACTATTGGAATTGGATGTTGATAAGCAATAAGTTGTCAACCAATAAGCTCACAGTTTTGCGAAAGTATCACCTAAAAATTTTTTCTTTGATTTTTATTGTTTGTCCTAAAATCGCCCACCGATTTTCATGATGTCGCCATTGTGAAGTCCAGGGTTCGATCCCGGGCCGGATCAACGTAAAAAACTATTTTTTCTATATTGTCTCTGGTCTGGGTATTTGTGGTTACATTGTTGTTTCCGATATTCATAGCACAAGAGGTTTAGTTACTTAATTTTGGAACAGAGCAACGCGTGTGATGTTGTCTTTAGTACCAGTCAGTATAGGTACTAAACTGCACACGAGTGTGTCATTCGAGTTCGTATTCAAGAAACACATGTTTAAACTCCTTAATTCATCGATACGATTGCCATCAATCTCACAAAGTTCAAGGTATTAACAGTTACCAGTCAGAAATAGCTCCCGTCTGCCGATTACCTTCTTATTTTGCACGGAGTTATTTCATAATCATTTTTTCAAGAAGTGAATTGAAGTGAAAATGCAATCGAAACTAGGCTAGAAGTACAACAGGTTTTACCAGTGGTCATAATAGCGTCCTATATGGTTGTCTTTAGCACGGATGAACGTAACTTATTGTATGTTATATTGCAGGCAATATAAAGACGTAAAAGTTCTTACATAGTAAAAGTAAAGAATAAGTAAAGTAAATTCACTTTGCTACCGCGTGAACCCAGTGAAGGTTAGGTCATGCAAAATAACTGCGCCTATGTTGAATATTTTTTATCTAGTTAATTTTCCTACCCTCCCAACGCATAAACTTAATAACACAAAAGGAACTAAAATCACCACAATCACGCTTGTTCAGGAGGCATCATCAGGAAATGTTCACTGTTTGACACTCGACAGAATAAGTAATTTTTATTAATAAGGATTTTAGTAAAGTATTAATAAAAGGTTCAAGAACCTTCTAGGCTATTCAAAATGTAGTGCTGTATTGCAATGTAAATTCATTTTTTCGTCAAAATTGTACATGCGTAAGTTATGTATTTACAATTTATACTCGAGTGGTTTGTGGGTGAGTTACACACGTCGCGCTTTCAGCGCTCTACGGGTACAACAATAATATCTTCCGTATACTATTGCATCTACCGCGGTGCTGCAGCGCGTAAGGCACGTTTGCCGATGCCCGAACGGGCGGTTTAAACTTCAAATGGTGTCCTGAAGGTTATTGCCGCTAGATTTAATTGTCCTATCCAGACGCATTGGATGAAGATAGTCATAGGAATTGTATAATATTTAATTGTGTAGTAATTAATTTCATTTACCTAATTGCATATTTAATAATTCAATTTGTAAAATTTCATTCCATAATAATTTAAACTTGTTTAATGTAATTAAATACTATATAAAGTATAGACGCGGGAAAATGACATTTGATACGTCACGACAACTTTAAGAACATTTCGGAGGGAAAACTCGAGGGGAAGAGGGGAAGAGGTCGACCTAGGCGCAGTTACATAGACCAAATAAAGAAAAAGGCCGGTGTCGTGTCTTATAAGGAGGTCAAGGAGCTGGCTTGTAGGAGAGATGACTGGAAGATGTTCCACCGACAAGATTATACTCTTAAGTTTGATGATGATGAGTGTAATTCTGTAATAATTAAATTCGTAAAATTTCTTTGTATAATAATGCAACTGTATAAATCTTTATTGAGTGAATTACTAATATTAATTTGTAAGTGACATTGTAACTAACACTACGGGTCCACGAAATAAATGAATTATTATTATATGTCCATTCATTTAGTTTAGGATTGTATACGTAGAGGTTGGCGATTGCATGAGTCTGAAGATAATACAAAATTTATTTTATTGAAGCTTCATACTTACTGGAATCTCTGACCCAATAGTTGATAGATTTTGGCGAGGACTCGACGTAGCACTCGAGGGAGACGTCAGTGCCGAGAGGGGCGCCCACCAGCTGGTTTGGTACTTGGATCACCGGGTGGACTGCGCACACAGGATGAGATATAATTCATAATGATATACACAAACATGATTGCTACAATCTATTTATACATATATTTGGTAGTTCATTGTTGTAAAAAACCTACGCAATTTACTAATTATCTATTCTTATATAAATAATAATATCATTATCTCTATATAAAGCCCGTCTCTTATCGGTGTAACCTCCTCCACTCCTCACGGTTCATAGCCACATAGAAATATAAGTACTTGTTTAAATTTCATTAAATCTTTTTATTCGCTGAAATGATAACGATGTTGATTGATCGATGACAATAATAAATTATGAAATAAAGATAATTAAATGAATAATAACGACGTTTTAAGAGGTCTATAATAGGCTTTGGTAAACCCAGTACATTCCAAAACATAACATGACAGGACGGCCAAGTCGTGCGTCCGATGGTAAGCTACACGCATGTCCATAACAGTTGCAATGCCACTCAGAGTTTTAAATCGCAAAGATCTGAGGGGCACTGCCACTGCGCCCGTCACCCTGAGACAGTTGAGAAGAAGAAGTTGATAAATCCCGCTGCCTGCACCAACATCCTTACCTTTCAAAACCGGAACGCAATAATGCTGACATTACTGCTTGGCGGCATAAATAGGTAAGGTGGCAGTACTTGCCTGGACGAACTCTTTCACGAGGAGCTCCATTGCTACTAAAACTACATAAAACATTCGGTATCTTAAACAAGAGTACGCGAAGTACGTATGCGGCATTGATAATGATCAGTGGAGTGACTGAATGGATACCGAGGAACGAAATAAGACGTAAAAGTCTGCAGAAGAAAAGATGGGAAGACACGTTTATAAAAAAGCAAGACTACAGTGAATGACGAAAGCCAGTGAATGAGAATATGGTAAATAATAGGGGAGGCCTATGGCGAGGAAGTGACTACTACTATTGCTAGGTAATAAGAATGTAAATGTAAATGAAAAAATTATGCTGTAGTAGAAATAAAGGCTCATTTTATTTTATTTATTTTTATCAAATTAAATAATAACGTATTTTTACATCTGTACTTTAATACCCTGCGGAAAACAAAACGTCTCACCCGAGTTGACACGTAGACACAAACGATTTCTATCTAGAAAATAATTAAAACCTCTCTCTGACATTAAATAACACCATTAATAACAAGAAACTTGCTGAGATAAACAATGTTTTCCAGGAATTTGAGAGAACCTCTTTTGTTCAGTAAATGGGCACGGCTTTTTTAGAAAAAAATACTTTCAAAGAAAATAAGAATCGTGTAGGCAGTGACAGTATAACGAAGTTGTTTATGCGAGTTCTGCATCCTATTAGAGTGGTTCAAGTGTATTGCTACGGGTATACAGTGATGCTGGGTTCATTTTTTTCATTTCAGTCATTTGGAATATTTTGACGAATTCCGTTTCTTTTTTAGCATGCTTTATTTTATTCTAATTTAATTATTATGTTCATTATGAACAGTACAGAGAAAGGTTTTTTTGAAGCATAAGCGAATGATTATGTGAGGCCGACGCTCTTTACCATATCCCTGTTCTACAATAGTAATTAACATTATTTCTTGATCAATAAAGTCACTTTTGGTCAATCATCATCAATTAATCAACATCCTAAGGAAGAAAGAAGAAAAGAAAGAAATAATACTCGTTCGTTCGACTCAGGAAAGGGTTAAGGTCATAGTCCGCCACTCTGGCGTAGTGATGTTTCAAGGACTTCACACATTTTTTCAGGGTTGTGAACCTTTTGCGACCTGCAGATTACATCACGTTTCCCTTCACTATTAGCGAGAGGTATTGTGACTAAACATTCATAATAGATGTAACTTAACAAAATACTTAAATTTTTAATAGCATTAGAGCTCGTTGTGAAAGAGTTCGCCCAGGAAAGTACTGTCACCTTACCTATTTCTGCTGCCAAGTAGTAATGCCAGCATTACTGTGTTCCGGTTTTGAAGGGTAAGGGTGCTGGTGAAATTACAGGCAGGGCCTTGTCAACTTAAGTCTTAGGGTGACGGGCACAGTGGCCCTCAGATTTGTGTTGTGATTGAACGCTCGAGTGGCATTGCAACTGTTATGGACAGGCGTGTAGCTTACCATCAGGCGCACGACTTGTTCGCCCCGTCACTTGATATTATAAAAAGAAAATTAAAGTCATTGTACATACCTCGGGGATTCAAACCATGGACTTTTCAATTGAGACGCAAATGTTCTCTCACTGGGTTAACATCGCCTTTATGATACATTCTCTATAACCCTAATAAAAACTAAAATTTCCATAACCTCTTTTTACTATTATATTAAAGTGTAAATAAACAATATTTGGCTTTACTGCGTCATCCCAGAATTTACAATTCACTTTTACGTCATAAATATTAATCGTACCAGCTTGCTACGAACACAAGTACTCATCGTTGCCCGATTACGCCAGAAATGTTCAATACAGATTTTTGTAAAATTGTACTTTCTATAGAGATGAAGCGTGAAGTATTCAAGTATGTATGCTGTTATGGAGTGCAACAATGTATATTTTAATAAAAACTAAGCAATGAATTTTGATTAATTAGTAGAAATTGTATTATTAACGATTGATTTGAAGTGTCTTAATATGCAGTTTATCAAAACATAGTTTGTTTTAGAGTTTTTGCTTTATAATTTTTTTTAAATGCAGACGAACAAGTCGTTCGCCTGGTGGTAAGCAACACGCCTACTCGTAACAGTTAATGAGTCAATTCAAAAATTCAAATCCTAAAGGTATGAAGGCCATCAATTTGATAAGCAACAAGGTCCAGGATCACACTCGCATTCGTGTTCCGTTGTAACTTAAAAACCAACCCCGAATTCAAATGCTACAAACCCCCGTCACTGCACCCGTCACCCTAAGACAAAGTTGTTAAGTCACACATGTGCCTGTAGTTTTACCATCACCCTTACCCTTCAATACTGGAACACAGTACTGTTCACATTACTGTTTGGCGACTGAAATTGATTAGTGGCAGTGCGTCTCTGGACGAACAAAGTTCACAATAGCTCTACGTTACAAAACGAAACCGTTTGTATGCGCAAATACAAAACCCAACATCACTCATCAGATTATTATTATTATGGAATGAATTTAGCCTGACACACTGATTAACCTTCACGATTTTCACACATTATTTGATTTTAAATTCGGGACTTAATCTTGTATAAAAACATAAAGTCTGTTCCAATCCATTTTGAACAAAATGTTAACAAAACTATCGAGTTCTTAGGTTTTCGCGATTGTTACACATAGGAAATGAAACTATTTTTCCGGATTTAAATCGCGTATATTTGTTTTTTCAACAAAAGCTTGATTTAAAATTAAGATTTCGGAAATTTTAAATATGCTTATATAGGTGATGTAAGGAGAACCGCTAGTATGACTCAATTGAACAAATCGATTAATCCAATTAATTAATCTATTTGTAGTTGGCATTACAATTGGCCACCACTAAACCATCTATGGTAACAAACGAAGTATATTTTATTTAGCTCGACGTTTCGGACGTATTGCAATGTCCATGACCTCGAAGGGATTCAACTTAGTCCCTTCGACACTATAAACGTCCCTGAATTGTCTCAGGTCACAACTTAGCCAATGTAAAGACAACATGGTGAAATATCAATCCGACTCAAGCCATTGTGCTTGTGGATCACCCACACAAAGTATGTCTCACTTGCTCTCATGCCCACTGTGTCCGACCAGCTGCACCTGCGAAGACCTGCTAAAGGCAACAGATAGGGGCGTAGACGTGGATTTCTGCTGGCTTCTGGCATTGTCTCAACAAGACCATGGACGTTGCCACGTAGTTGCCGCGTTGAAACGTAGAGATAAATAAAATAATGTTTCTATAGACGATGAAGTCCCGAATTTAAAATCAAATAATAATTTTGTCTGATTTTTTAAGTAAAACGCGTGCAATGTATTTATTATATTGCTGTTGCAGCTATTGTGCGTTTGCAGAGCTTCGAGCATGTGCTAGTGCAGTCTGGCGATAGAAAACTGCCTCGCTGTCGAACAGCGTGCGCGAAAGCTGTAACGGCATCATGAAAGCGGTAGCTGATAGACCTGAAAGCCTTAATGCCCGATGTGTAAGCGCGCAGAGTTGTTAAGTATTAATCTAGGATAAGCTCTACTAACATTAGAATGGGCTATGCATGTTGTCTGAAATAAATAAATGTATTATTTTCATAAATATTGTTGCCGCCAAATTACTAGAGACAGATACCAGTTTATTTCTTCTTACTTATTTTAATCTTACTTTTCTTTACATTGAACAGAATGTACTATCAAGGTTTAAATTACCTCCTATCCCCTTTTGCGGGCTTTCACCATCATCATAACTCACATCATCATAACATCATAACTTCTCTACATAACACACACCACAATACACCCAACATGTAACCACCACACATACGATATGTTAGTTTTATTACTTTTTCATTTTTATTATTATTTATTTTACTTTATTTCTTCTATAACTATTGAAATTTGTACGTACTCTCTACTTTAGTTTTAACTTAAAAATTGTTTATTTTTCTTAATATTCATTTTTGTCGCAAATTGGGGATATTTTATCCGTAGGTAGTCCTGGAGACCTATAGCATAGGGTAACCTAGTTTAGACTTCAGCCTTTGGAGACAATAAATGTTTTGTTTTCTTTGTTTACTTATTGTTGTACAACAATGTTTCGTAAGGAAAATAAACATTATTATTAATAAAACTTGTGAAAATTCCGTATTGTTGAAAACACAGAAATAGGCAAACATAATAAACAAATGTATTGCAAAATATCGTGAAACATACGGACGTTAATTGTTTTTAGAGTAAAGCAGTGTAGTTCTACCATAAATAGTTTCTTTTTACGAACTAAACAATCGACGATCCCCATTTGGGTCATTCAAAAAGGTGTAAAACGGATAAACGCATTTTATTCGAAGGGAAACCCAGTGGAATCTTATCAGCGTCTATAAAACACGAACGGTACTGAAATGCTTGATAAATGGAAGCCAAGAGCTAAGTATCTGAGCACACACCTCGTTTGATTGATTCGACAAATAAGGGGAGAGAAAGCTCGAGATCAGTGTTTATGATACATTTTTAATTCTCGAATATTTTGTTAAAAAATTTCAGTGCTGGAATGAACGTTCTGTGTAAATTTTTTTTACAATTAGACACAATTCCACGACGTGACTTATGTTATTTAATAATTATTTCGTATCATTTGTATAATAAAGGCACGTCATCATACGCCAAGAGTGATTTTATCACATGATGGTTATCAATATAAAAATAAACCGAACTACATAAAACGATTATGTATTTGTGAATTGTTGTAACTTACGTATTTAAGCGTAAAAAAGCCACCGACTAATTTCATCCGTAGAATCTGTAAACCTCTCTCCTGAAAAGTTGTTATTTTGCAGATGTGGCCTTATTACACCAAGGGTACGATATAAATCTCTAAACAATGAAACCCAACTAGTTGTAGTAGCAGTAGAGCTCCTTGTGAAAGATTTCGTCCAGGGAAGTACTGCCACCTTACCTATTTCTGACTCCAACCAATAATATGAGCGTTACTGTGTTCCAGTTTTGAAGAATAAGGGTGCTGGTGAAATTACAGGCACATGAGACTCAACGATGATGATGTCAACTTTTGTCTCAAAGTGACGGGCGCAGTGGCAGTGCCCCTCAGATCTTTGCGATTTAATGGATAGGCGTGTCTTTTACCACCAAGTGCACGACTTGTTCGTTCCGTCACTTAGTGTCATAAAAACTGCCTCCGTGGCCGAACGGTTACTATACCGGACTGCCACGCAGAGGTCCCCGGGTTCGATTCCCGGGCCGGGAGAAATATTTGTATGGCCTACATTTATTTCTCTCGTGAGTTTGGGTGTGATTTGTGGTTGTCTATGTGTGTCCATGGCACCCGCGACACAGGGTTTCCCTAGTGCGGGGCTATGTTGAGTGTGTGCGTTATTATTATTATTAAAAAAAAAACCCAGAACGGAAAAAGAAAAATAAATCAACAAATGAATGTGTACGTAAATACAATAATGAAAGAGAATTGTCGATATTTTCTACTTACAGTGAACTTTAATCATAATTCTCTTGCTAACTGATGGAGGTACACCATTGCTGGCAATGCACAAATAAGCGCCCATATCCGAGCGAGAAATCTTCGTCAGTGTCAATACTTCGTCTTCGTAAACGGCGACTAGGAAAAGAGAAACATTAAATTGGGACCCCACATGTCAGTACGCATCTGCATCGTCACCATACGAAATGTGTCTTTTCTAAGGAGTTTTGCTAGTAGACAGTAGCATTATGCATGTTGACTCTTAATAAAAAATTAATGATGCTCTCGGTATCTCGAAGGCAAAAAATAATATAGTTACCAGCATGTTACCAGCATTCGTTTCTATTGTATCGGTATAACAAGTAAAAAATAATAATTTTACGCGTTCTATTATGAAAACATGTAATATATTATATTAACTTGCCATTTTCGGCATTTAATGAGTTGTCACGAAGTTTAATAAAGTACATAAGTAAAAGACATCAGTAGGGCCAACAGTACAGGACGCGATTTGCGCGAGAGCGACATAAAGCGCGAGATCTCTATGCGACAATAGCAGTTATCATCATCAACCCATTTGTATATGCCACTGCTGGGCACGGGTCTCCTTTCAGACGCATTTCAGAGCATAGTCCGCGACGCTGGCCCAATTCGGATTGTGGACTTCACACGTTTTTCGAGGGTTGTGAACCTTATTCAACGAACAGGTTTCATCGCGATGTTTTTCATCACCGAAAACCTCATGATAAATTTCAAATTAAATTTCGCACATTGATTCCGAACAACTCAGATGTGCGAGCCCGGATTCGAACCCACGTCCTTCTGCTTGAGAAGCAGTAGGTCAAACCATTGGGCTACCACGGCTACTACGCCAGTAGCAGTATCTCGCGCTAATTGCGCTCTGTCGTGCTAGCTTCACAGGCAGTAAGAAAGGTGCGACTTTTTACCATTGTGGTACTTCAGTTTTTTATCAGATGTAACTTTACGAACGCTTTATAAAGAACTTAAAGAAAGTTTAGTCCAGACTCACCTTTATTTTTGTCGCCATGAGCATTTCTTAGTATAATATCACCTCCATCCTCTCGTCGCCACATTATTCGCGGCTTGGGCATACCTTTGGCTTTACAAGATACTCTTGCTGTTCCTCCTTCAGGTATCATTACATCTCCTGACGTTTCTTCGGGAATAAAATCTGGAGGAATTACAACCTCTAGAAACCCCATCTAGAAAGTGAATTGCCTTTGAATAAAAGATATTTAAACTTTGTTGACCTAAAAACTATGCTGGATAAAACAGTTGGTTACGCCGAATTGATGTTTGAATATTCCTTGCGAAATTTTTTTATCTTTGAATCTTATTACAATGGCACAAGCAAGAGCAAGATAAAGTCACCCAACTCGTGACACCTAGCGGACGAAGAAAACACTTTCTTTCGCCTGTTGAAGTTTCAATGCAATACCCGCGCGCGCAACGGAAAGCCCCCGCTAATTATTATTAGAAATTATAGTGAAAATATACTGAACCGAAAAAAATGAGTAAAAGTGAATGTGCGTTTTGGTGAACTTGTAGCACATCAAGAATCGGTACCTGGGCGAGACAAGGAACCTAGATCGCTCTTAACTCGCAGCTCATGGGCAGATTAGCCACGCGGATGGTTTCAAGAAGTTCTGTGCTCCTAGCTTACCTACTGGTATTTGTGCCAAACAACCAAATCTATTTTAATCATATAAGGTTCACAAATCGAAAGAAACATCGCACTCCTCGCATGGTTGACCGGTTTGGGCTACCCGAAATTTAAATTGCACCACCAACTATGTTGATATGAAAAAATGAATGATAGTTTACTGACTGATGTGGATAAATGATTAGATTGATATGAGACGGTTGACTTGCCAATTGAAAAGAAAAATGTTGGCGTAAGCCACCTATTACATCAAGTGGCGTCATGCTGGGTGTACGTCGGCATCGAAGCCTGGTGCACTGTCGCCACAGAGGATTTATGTCGTTATCAGACCCGCGTATAAATTACAGCGCAGCGCAATAATTTAGGAGCACCATGCACGAATCATTACCCGCTGCGTCGCTCGACCGTTTTCCACTTGCCTGCAGTTTAATTCACTTTATCCCCCCAATGTTTGCTGTAGTAATCACAATTTAATTTTCGTTGACGGCAACGCCCCACAAGTTAATGACAGTTGTTTGTGGATAGTGGCATTAGGGATCGACATTCGGACGGTTTACTATTTGAGGGTTTAACGTCTATCTCTGTTTTATTTTTGACAATATGGTGCCGTTAATCCTGAGGGTCAAGGGCTCCTGTCCGGCTCTCGCTACTTAAAGCAAATGTAAACCAGCCAATATGTGAACTAGTGACTAAACTAACGCACGTTCCTAAATATCACTCTTTTGGTGCAATATCTGCAAAACAACAACTTTTCAGGGAAGACATTTAAACGTTCGTCGACAACTTATTAATGCTTAACCCGTTCATAGACTGTAACTCTGTTTACAGTAAAATCAGAATAATGACAGTACGAGGCATTCCGTTTCACTGTATGGATCTCAAAAAACTAATTACGGGCTTTACAAAGCGATTTCCAAGTGCTTTCTGTGTTGTTGCCGTCTACTGATTCTCCAGAGAGACGTACCCAACACCAAACGGACAAAATTTGTTTTTTTGTTTTTTGTTTGTTTGTGTAAATAAATAAATAATATTTTAATATTATATTGTATGTTTATTAGTCCTTAATGTATATTGTTATATGGCTCATTTTGCCTGAATTAACTCAGTCGAACATCGGACATTTTATATTGAATAAATATAAGCAATACGGCATTAAAAGTGCTTAAGTAAGTATTTACAGAGCTCGTCCAAGGAAGTACTGCCACCTTACCTATTTCTGTCGCCAAACAGTAATGTGAGCATTACTGTGTTTAGATTTTGTTGGTGAAATTACAGACACATGGGACTTTCAACTTATGTCACAATTCGTATTATTTTAAAGTGATAAAAGCATTTTTTTATATAATTATGACCACAAATGTGACTTTATTATACCAAGGGTACGATATG